GTGACTGTATTTTTTTTTAGCTAAAGTTATTATAAATTGCTTCATTTATTAGCAGCAATTTGTGATAGTGAGCCATATTAAGAAGTAAACATATTTGTCTGCAGTGTAATTATACACAGAGACAGTGACAACAAAAATAACAATGCAGATAATATAATTATACTATAATTTTTATTTGATAAAATGATAATCCAGATTTTGTTTACTAATTTGAGTCAACAAATGCTGAGAAATTATGCTAGTCCAACAATCTATAAATCATATATATATACATATATATATATATAACAACTTCTTGGAAGTAGTATCACTCTAAATTTCTTCAACCCATCAGATCTTCAAAATAGAATTAGACAATGTAGATATTATCCCAGCAGTTATGCTCTGCTTCTAGAAACATTACAATAGTCATTGATTCCCAAAGGCACATTGTGGAAGTAAATTTAGAGTAGATCTAGAAAATGACATCTTTACATTATAAAACCCAAAACCTTAGAATTGGAGAAATTCATATCTTCACTTTATGTAAGTGAAAAGAAAAGCTCAGAAAGTATACCAATCATATATGTATGGAAGAAAACACTGTAGAACCCAGGTTTCTTGATATCAATTTTGTGTGGCACCAGGATATTATTTCAGACATTATACTCATTCTTAACTACTACGCTATACTGCCTCTTGACAAGGAAGAAATATATATGCTCATTAAACATAAAAGGGCTTCCCTGATGGCTCAAGGGTAAAGAATCTGCCTACAATGCAGGAGATGCCATTTCAGTCCCTGGGTCAGGAAGATCCAGGGGAGGAGGAAATGGCAAACCACTCCAGTAATCTTGTCTGGAAAATCCCATGGACAGAGGAGACTGGCGGACTACAGTTTATGGGGACACAAAAGAGACATGACTTAGCAACTAAACAACAGCAACAACAATTAAACATAAAAGGCCAATTTCAGCTACAATAAAAGATACATACTAAAATAAGAGGAAATTACAGTTCGTGGTTATAAAGTCTGTGAACACTGAATAAACGTATATGGAGCCATTGCTCTAGGAGAAATAGAACAGATTCTTGCAAGCTTTTGGTCACAACATTTTCTTCAACTGATAAGCATATAATTTTGTTTAATCATAGGCAGTGTTTCTTTATAATAAAACATTAACTGAGAACATTATCCTGATGCTGGATAATGTGACCGTAAATTTCCTTGGCTTTCAATTCGCAACAACTCTATCTACTACGGTTTTTTAATCAGTCATCATATCACTAATCCACAAATTTAACAGTCCTATAGCTTCATCTCAAACTGTGGATGTTATTTCTGCATTTTTCCAGAGAAGCCTCACATACAGATCAGTAAATTTCCTCTCCCCTTCTCTGGATACATCATACCTTGAATCATTAACACTGAACTCCCAGCCAACAGCACTATAGCTCATGCCTGAATGAAGCTTGTCTAACGTGTATTTTTTCCAGAAGGCACATCCCAGCTTCTTACACATGGGAACAGTAAACAGCACTTCAGCATATACTAGGGGACCATTTAAACAACAAAATTACAAACAAAACACAAAATGTGAAAATTGTGGCACTAAATTGACTGTGACGAAGACATTTGTTCACAGTATGAAAGTTGAAGCAAGAAAGTAGGAGATGGCCTTGTTTGCCCATATGTGATTGAAATTTTTCACCACTCTGCACATGTCCACAAAAACCAGGAAAGTGCCCTGAGTACTGACTTTGGAATTGCAAATAGACTTTAATGAGTTAGCAAATTCACAAATACAGAATTCATGAATAACTGGGATTGACAAGGATTTCAAAAGATCAATAAGACTAGTGTTGGCAAGGATGGGGAACAGTGGACATTCTCCGCTGCTAGAGTTTGCCTTCTGAAATAGGACAGAATTTTCTGAGGCCAACTTGGAAATACAAATCAGAAATTTAAAAACTGTTCACTTACTCTGATAATTTTATGTGCAGCTTGGATAAAACAAAAAGGCTGAACCTTCCCTGAGTAAGAGAGAATTCCTCCTATCTGATGGCCTGTGAACTTGGTGGACACTTTTTTCCTGCCTTCAGACTTGAAACATTGACTCTTCTTAGGTTGTGAACCTGCTGGCATTCTGATTGGAAACACAAATGTGGCTCTGTTGGGTCTTCGAACAGAATCAACCTGCAAATTTTGAGAATTCTGAGCCTTCATAATCTTATCAGGCAATTTTTTATAATCTACTTCTTTCTACATAATAAATCCTATTGGTTCTGTTTCTCTGGAGAAATCTAACACATGTGCTTTGTTCTTGGAGTTGAACTTCTAGGAATATATCTCGAGAAAGTAATCATTCAGTAGATAGATAGATACAGAGATAGACTGATAGATTGACAGAGATGTATATATACCTCTTACATTGTAAGTTTTATAGAAGTATTATTATAATGGCAGTGAATTAGAAAGAACCTAAACTTCCACAAAAAAGGGTTTTTGTATATTGTACTATGCTGACATAAAAGATTATGATATTGGTACATATTTTGCATTCATACATAGGTATTTATAAAATATTAAGTTTAAATGATTACAAGCTATTATACATAGTACAATTACATTTTTAAAATATGTGTGTGTCAAAAATAAACTCAAAATGGATTAAAGGTCTAAATGTAAGACCAGAAACTATAAAACTCCTAGAGGAGAACATAGGCAAAACACTCTCCAACATAAATCACAGCAGGATCCTCTATGACCCACATCCCAGAATTTTAGAAACAAAAGCAAAAATAAACAAATGGGACCTAATGAAACTTAAAAGCTTTTGCACAACAAAGGAAACTATAAGCAAGGTGAAAAGACAGCCCTCAGATTGGGAGAAAATAATAGCAAACGAAGCAACAGACAAAGGATTAATCTCAAAAATATACAAGCAACTCCTCCAGCTCAACTCCAGAAAAATAAATGACCCAATCAAAAAATGGGCCAAAGAACTAAACAGACATTTCTCCAAGGAAGACATACAGATGGCAAAAAAAACACATGAAAAGATGCTCGACATCACTCATTATCAGAGAAATGCAAATCAAAACCACAATGAGGTACCATTACACGCCAGTCAGGATGGCTGCTATCCAAAAGTCTACAAGCAATAAATGCTGGAGAGGGTGTGGAGAAAAGGGAACCCTCTTACACTGTTGGTGGGAATGCAAATTAGTACAGCCACTATGGAAAACAGTGTGGTGATTTCTTAAAAAGCTGGAAATAGAACTGCCATATGACCCAGCAATCCCACTGCTGGGCATACACACCGAGGAAACCAGATCTGAAAGAGACACGTGCACCCCAATGTTCATCGCAGCACTGTTTATAATAGCCAGGATGTGGAAGCAACCTAGATGCCCATCAGCAGACGAATGGATGAGGAAGCTGTGGTACATATACACCATGGAATATTACTCAGCCATTAAAAGGAATTCATTTGAATCAGTTCTAAGGAAATGGATGAAACTGGAGCCCATTATACAGAGCGAAGTAAGCCAGAAAGATAAAGACCATTACAGCATACTAACACATATATATGGAATTTAGAAAGATGGTAATGATAACCCTATATGCAAAACAGAAAAAGAGACTCCGATGTATAGAACAGACTTTTGGACTCTGTGGGAGAAGGCGAGGGTGGGATGTTTCAAGAGAACAGCATCGAAACACGTATATTATCTAGGGTGAAACAGATCACCAGCCCAGATTGGATGCATGAGACAAGTGCTCGGGCCTGGTGCACTGGGAAGACCCAGAGGGATCGGGTGGAGAGGGAGGTGGGAGGGGGGACCTGGATGGGGAATACATGTAAATCCATAGCTAATTCATTTCAATGTATGACAAAAACCACTGCAATGTTGTAAAGTAATTAGCCTCCAACTAATAAAAATAAATGGAAAAAAAATAATAAAATATGTGTGTGTATTTAGTCACTCAGTCATGTCTGACTCTGCGACACCAAGGACTATAGCCCGCCAGGTCCTCTGTCCATAGGGATTTTCCAGGCAAGGTTACTGGAGTGGATTGCCATGCCCTCCTCCAGGGGATCTTCCCAAGGCAGGGATTAAACCCAGGTCTCCCACATTGCAGGTGGATTCTTTACCATCTTAGTCACCTAAATGAGCATATATGCATACAAAGAAATCTTAACAGAAGTGGTTATCTTGAATGGGAGGGAATTTGGGTAAATTCTATTTTTATTACCCACTATGTATTTATATTTTTTTTTCTATAATGGGGACTTCCCTAATAGCTCAGTTGATAAAGAATCTGCCTTGCAGGCACACTGCTGACCTCGTCTTCTTCATGCAGCCCTCACCACTGTCTGGAGAACTTTCTTTCCCCTGGGCACAATGGCAACTCTTAAGGACAAACTGATTGCACCAGTTGCGGAAGAAGAGGGAATGATCCCAAACAATAAGATCACTGTAGAGGGTGTTGGACAAGTTGGTATGGCATGTGCCATCACATTCTGGGAAAGTCTCTGACTGATGAGCTTGCTCTTGTGGATGTTTTGGAAGATAAACTCAAAGGAGAAATGATGGACCTGCAGCATGGGAGCTTATTCCTTCAGACACCAAAAATTGTGGCAGACAAAGATTACTCTGTCACTGCCAATTCCAAGATCGTGGTGGTAACTGCAGGAGTTCGCCAGCAAGAGGGGGAGAGTCGCCTGAATTTGGTGCAAAGGAATGTTAACGTCTTCAAGTTCATCATTCCTCAGATTGTCAAGTACAGTCCTGACTGCATCATCATTGTGGTTTCCAACCCAGTGGATATTCTCACATATGTTACCTGGAAACTAAGTGGATTACCCAAGCACCGTGTGATTGGGAGTGGATGTAATCTGGATTCTGCTAGATTTCGCTATCTTATGGCTGAAAAACTTGGCATTCATCCCAGCAGCTGCTACGGATGGATTTTGGGAGAACATGGCGACTCAAGTGTGGCTGTGTGGAGTGGAATGAATGTGGCAGGTGTTTCTCTCCAGGAACTGAATCCAGAAATGGGAACAGACAATGATAGTGAAAATTGGAAGGAAGTGCATAAGATGGTGGTTGAGAATGCCTATGAAGTCATCAAGCTAAAAGGATATACCAACTGGGCTATTGGATTAAGTGTGGCTAATCTTATTGAATCCATGTTGAAAAATCTATCCAGGATTCACCCAGTGTCAACAATGGTGAAGGGAATGTATGGCATTGAGAATGAAGTCTTCCTGAGCCTTCCATGTATCCTGAATGCTCGAGGGTTAACCAGCGTTATCAACCAGAAGCTGAAGGATGAAGAGGTTGCCCAACTCAAGAAGAGTGCAGATACCCTCTGGGGCATCCAAATGGACCTAAAGGACCTGTGACTTCTGGCTGCAAGGCTGTAGAAACTTAAAACTACAATTTGATTAACCACAAGCCTTTAGTTTGCATCCATGTACATAGAGCACAGTTTGCTTTTGTCTTCCTAAGTCTGTGAATCTGGGCTCCCAGAATCAAAGCCCATGCTTGCTATTAAAGCTTGCAAGATAAATTAAAAAAATAAATAAATAAAGCTTGCAAGATGAGTCCTTGAACAAATAAAATAAACCACCTAGTATAGTGAAAAAAAAAAAAAAGAATCTGCCTGCAATGCAGGAGACCCTGGTTTGGTTCCTGGGTCAGGAAGATCTGCTGGAGAAGGGATAGACTACCCACTCCAGTATTCTTGGGCTTCCCTTGTGGCTCAGCTGGTAAAGAATCTGCCTGCAATGCGGGAGACCTGAGTTTGATCCCTGGTTTGGGAAGATCCCCTGGAAAAGAAAAAGACTACCCACTCTAGTATTCTGGCCTGGAGACCAGTCTGGCCACCTAAATGAACAAATATGTGTAGAAAAAAGTCCAAAGTGGTTATCTTGAGTGGGAGGAATGTAGGTAAATTCTTTTTTTTTACCTACTACATACTTATATTTTCTTCTTTTCTATAATAAGCCTATATTATTGTGCTTGAAAAGAATCCCATGATGAACAAAGACATGGTATAAAGAAGTCTAGATTCGATGTCAGGTGACCTGGATTCTAAAACCCAGATCCTCACTAACTTGAGACAGTAGCTTAACTACCGTGGTCCTCGTTTTCTCATTTATAATATCATAAAACTGAATTAAGCGATCTCTAAGGCCTCTCCCAGTACCACATTCAGTCTTCCCTGGGCCCATATTTCTTTGGATTCTTTGGTAAATTTTCTAAGTGTTAGTACCCTTGTGATTTCAATGTGGGGATCATAGGGAACACAAAAAGAGCAACTTCTATACATTGGCTGTTGGGATTTTACCAACCTGTGAACCTGCCTGGACCTAATTGGCTCAATCCTGGGCTTGTGACAGCAGATTGGATGGTCACAGATCAGACACAGCTTTGCACTGTTTGGTGGCATTGTCCAAACGTCCTAGAAAAAGAAAGAAAGCACATAGTAAAAAGAACATGGATGTTGGTGTTTGAATTCCCACTCAAGCACTTACTAATTCTAAGGAAGTTTTTCCTAACCAGTAAAGAGAGACTGTTCTTACGGATTCTGAATTCACCAAGGTAGCAAAAGTGCATAGTATAGAATAGGTGGAGACTTGAAAAAATAAGCAGTTGCTTCCTCTTCTTCTTCCTTTCAAAGATGATACATTCTAGAATCAGATTGATTCCAGGGAAAACAGGGAAAGGGACGTGAGTTTTCTTCATAATTGTCCTAGAAGCTAGAGGTAATCCTGTTGTTCTACCTAATGGTTATGTTAGACAGCTGATAAATTATAGCTTACAATGAACCTGTTGTCATAGCAATTAAAAAAAGCAAGTTAAGCAATAATAGACAGGAAACAAGGATTTAATTCAGGGATCCAATTTGGAACACAATTAAGGTGATGTAGGAGCCTAATATTTCATTCACCTAATAAAATATCTCCAGGTTCAGGAGTGATTAGATGCAGTCATTTCCTGGCCTCTCTAGGAGATGATACATCTGACACTGTGTCCTTTAACAAAGCCCCAGAGGCACAGCTCAAAATACTCAGGAACAAATCACACATTGTCCAACCTACATGAGCCTTGAATTCTGCCCACGGAAGCACTGACCATAATCTGATCTTATTTTCTCATGGGATCTTAGGATAAGAGGTTATTGCTTTATCTTGAAAGCTCATTGTATTCTCATGAAAGGGATTTATGCAAACCCATATTGATGCATAACTGGAAACAAATTATGATGCCTCTTATGAACTCAATGAATCTTAGTTTCTCACAGTGAGGAAACCACTTGATTATCCAAAGAGATGAGCTAAATGTTCTGTTCCCTGATCCCACACTGATTTTTGACTACCTCCTCATTCCCTAAAGCTGCAGTTCCTTAACTGTATGCCACCTCCAGATGACAGAGAATTTATAGGGGAGTTGTGGACTTTTTACATTTTTAATGGAAACACATTGATACAGAGCATCTGTCAGAGAGCCCATGAATGACAAGCTAGAGGTAATTTTCAGACCACGTGACGTTCCTTTGGATGACCTCTTTCAGAAACTGGGTTTTCTGTAGTGAGCAGCGCACAAAAATTAATCAGGGACAGGAAGTGAGGATAACGAGGGAAGCAGTCTGATTCCAAAGTTCAAGAAGTTGTTCAGTGCCCAACAGAGGCAAAAATCATATTAGGAGGTAACTGTGATTTTCAAGAATGATTTAAAATAATTTTTCTTTTAATTTACATGTAATACTTTCTTAAGTGGCTGCTAAATTGCTAAGGCATAAACACTTATGAAATTGTTTGGATCTAGGTACTTAAAGCACCGAAATATCAGGTTCTTATTTTGGCCTAAGGATGCTGTAGGGGAAAAAATACTGAGACACTAAGGGCTCCATGAACAGATAAAGTTTGGTAGTCTTGGCCCTGCGGCCCTTTTCTGTCTTGTCAATACGGCTCAGGTCGATATTTTATACTCAGAGGCTTATCTATCACAATATGCTGCCTGAGAAGGTGGGTGTTCACTTTCATTGAAGCAGAGAAACTAAAATAAATTTTAGGTCATTAAGATCTTGTCAACCTACTGAGAAATGCCTGCTATAGCTCGTGTTAAATATTTATCACCTGAGGACAGCCATCTGTTCTTTCCAATTCTCATTTGGCCTTCGCCTCCTCTCTTCCTGCCAAAAGCATTAGATGCTTGATGGGTTGATTCCCCAAATCAGAATGCTTTGGGGTTGCCTATTGTATGCATTTATTTATAGCAATATTTATTCTGTCTGACTTGCTTCCTGCATTTCTCAAAACAAAACATCCACATCTCATAAATGTGCTATGAAATTTCTAATCATGTTGCAAGCTACAAGCACTCTAAAATAATTATTTCTCTTTCTGCTTAAATTGGAAAGCTGGAGAATAAATATTCAGACTTTATTAGTCATTCATATTAGAAATAAGGCATAGAAACTCCAAGTTATACTTGCATATTAAAGATCCCAGCAATCTGAAGTTTTGCACTCGTTTTCCAAATACATTCTCTCTGGGAGAACTCCTCTGATGTAATTATTACCTCAGGGTAATATCTACATGGATGGCTCTCAAATGTCCATCCCCTGCTTTATCGTCTCTTCTGAGTCTCAGTCACACATTCCAAATTGCCTAGATATGCCACTTCCCACAATCATCCTGGGCCCTAAATGTACTCACCACCTTTCCTCTTTTACTTCGCTTCCTTCCGCCTTCCTTTATACCCAACTCAGGCTCAAAATCTGGGTTACCTTTTCCTCCCTATTTCTCCTTCCTAATAACCAAAGGATTTCAAATCATAGCAATCTATCTCTTCAATTTTGCTCCCCACTTACAAGTAATATTATTTGGAATTATTGGGATATCTTCCCAAACATATTTTGGACATAACAATATGTACATGTGATGAATTTAGAAACTGACTTATTTCTCCTCTGTAACACAAACAGTGGCATTTCCTACATGCTCTTCTGCCCCTTGATTTTTCACTCAACAAAACACATTGGAATCATACTGGGGGCTGTGTACAGTGTGTCCACTCTTTTTATGCCACCAAGTCACCCTCTCTGTGCGTTTACCATGATTTTTATTTAACCCAACACATTGCATCTATAAGCATTTATATTTTAGATTTTGATGGAGAAGTCAAGTCATCTTCCATAAATGTTCCAATTTGTGCTCCCTTCAGTGGCGTCTGAAGTAAACAATTATAATTAAAATATAGAGTCATCCTATCATACAATCATATAAAGGTGCTCTTCTGTGTTGGAGAGAAATACTGTTTTCTATTATTCCTTGATAATTACAGGATAGATACAAGATGTTACTGTTTCACTAAGTGAAAAGCTTTCTATGACTAAAAATCTCTTTTGCAACTTCTTTATTCTCACGGGTAGGGCTTTGTGCAAAATGGCTTCACTCAAACCCTTAGGAAAAGCATCTATAGGATTCGACACGAGAGAAATCTTTTTTGTATTCACTTCTCCATGTGCCTTTTCTATCTTGTTATTGCCACATACACACAAAAAAGTACAAAATAATGTAGAGAATCTAAGTTAGGCAGAGATTTATCAGAAAGAGCAGGAGCACACATTTAAAATACTCATCTTTATAAAAAAGAAGGAACAAGTTTCTTTAAATGATTTTACTGTACATCCACCAAAAGAATCAATATCTGGCTTTTGCAGGAACAGTCCCATAGTGAAAATAAAATCACTCACCCTTGTAGCTTTAAACAACAAGCTTCTATGCTTAGGAAGAAAAGGACGTTTTCAAGAGAAGCTTTAAAAAATAATGAGAAGTGGAAATTAATCATGTTCCATTCTTTTAAAAGGCTTGTTTCTTGAAAATGAAATAATTAATGCACCATTCCTAATATACCAAAACTTAAATCTTTACCAAGTTTGCTAAACAGTCAAGACTGGAGCACATGCATGTTAATGAAGAAAAATAAAAGAGAGAGAGAGAGAGACTGCACTTCATAAAGTATTATTTAACTTGAAGACCTCAGGCAGGCAAAATGTCAGTGGAGTTAGAATAAACTTTTCAAAAGCTAGACAGGCAACCAAAGAAAAGATACACAATATTTTCTTTAAATGAAATAAGGTGAAATGCAAAGAGGGAGAAGTCAATATTTCACAACCACCAGCAGCGTTTAGGTTGTGTCCCCTAAGGCTCTGATTCTACCATATTAGGTACTTTGGAAATCTACAGTATTTTTTAAAATTGAAAAGGAGATGACGAGATTCATAGCATCAGCTAGTACAAGCTACTGCATTTCTTGCATCTAGAGGCACTTGCATATATAGGCTTAAATGAAACCTCTTTTTGTTGCATTGACTCTGGAAACCTATGGTCCA